GGGGATCCTGCGGGAAGAAGGGTCCTTGGGGCCTACACCTTAATGTGAAATCTTAGGGCTCTCCAGTTCAGCTGTACCCATCCACTTCTCCAAGCAATTGCTGAGGCCAGCCCACGCCGTTCCTTCGTTCATGACATGTCCTTGCCCAGAATGCCCATCCTCATGTTTCCCGCCTACCTAGACCTTGCCTGCGCTTAGCTTGCACTCTGAACTCCGCCTCCTCCAGGAAGCTTTCCCTGAACACCTATCACTCCCAACCAATGGTGATTTTCTTCTCTGCTTCTGAACTTCCGTGGCACCCATGAGTACTACCATGTGGGTACTCGATTATGAACTTTAACTTACCTTTTCCCTTGCGTGTTTTTGGTGTCTCCACCTAGAACATAATCCCTTTGAGGACAAAAAGCACATTTTAGTTATCTCTCTGTCACCCGCAGATTATTTCTCTCAGGTTTATGCACAATAAATCTCTCTATGCAGGACTTACAGGACACCAGGAAGGGAGGCCTCGGGATCATAATTTGTCAGCATCCAAGGTTTGCTTTGTCTTCATAACAGGACTAGATGCTAGACCTATTTTGGGTCCAGACACATTTTCTCTTCCTTTAAAGGCAGTACTCACAGGAGCTCAGTACATAAAGCAGGCAGGGGTGGATCTGTCCTGGCTGCCCTTGAATGGGGCTGCTCTGTGCCCCACCCCTCCATGGCAGCTCAGAGGGAATCTTGGGGCTGAAATATTATAATTAAAAATTACTAGGGAAGGGGCACCTGGGTGGCTCAGTTGGTTAAGCATCTGACTCTTGATTTCAGCTCAGGTCATGATCTCACAGTTCGTGAGATCAACCCTTGAGCAGAGCCTACGTGTGATTATCTGTCTCCCTCTCTCTCTGCCCCTCCCTCCCCCTCTCAAAATAAATAAACATTTTTTTTAAAAAATCACTAGGGAAGGCCACACCAAAATTTACAGATTTGAGTTGCTGAAAGAGGAAGCTATATGCGCACATTTTATTAAAAGGATATTTGCTGGTGTGTTCATAAAACAGAAATTAAGCGACTTTTTCGCCTTTGTTTCATACAAATTGGTTTTTGTTTTTTCTCCATTAACCTTGTTCATGCCTTATTCTCTTGAGAAGATGCTTCTGCCAGAGCCCTGACTGCATTTGATTAAACGATCTGTTTACTCTTCCGTTGTCCCCATTAAACAGGCAGCTCCTTGACAGCAGACACTTTGTTGCATTTACTTTCCCATCTTCAGGCTCAGCCAGGTGCTCAGCACATAGTAGGTGCTTGGCAACTTAACCCCCAAAGCACTGAAGTCTCTACTTACACGGCCACCTCTCGGTGAGCTAGACCCAGCTCAAGGTCCCTGTGGATGATTCACCCTGAATGTTAATGCAAAGTGGCTGTTTCCTGCTGCTGAGCTCTGCTCTCCCCCTCCCCTGCCCAGCTGTTTTGGGCTTGGGAGAATATTAGTTAATTTTATTTTTTTATTAAAAAATGTTTTTAATGTTTATTTATTTTTGGAAGAGAGAGAGAGAGAGCACGAGTTGGGGAGGGGCCGAGAGGGAGAAGCAGAATCCGAAGCAGGTTCCAGGCTCCAAGCTGTCAGTGCAGAGCCCGATGCAGGGCTTAAACCCACACGTGAGATCATGACCTGAGCCAAAGTTGAACGCTTAACCGACTGAGTCACCCAGGCGCCCCTTAGTTAATTTTAGTATTAGCCTAAGAATAATTAATTAAGAAGGCAAATTTACTCTAAAAGGTGTAATTAATTCCAAAGCCAAATAGAAGAGTTATGGATTATCTGCACTGCTGCTGCCTTCAAGTAGTGTGGATAATCAAGGGCTGACTAGACGAATACAGAATAATTTAAGCATCAGTGCTATGTAGACTGAACTCCATGCAGTTCCTCCGGTACGTGGGCTCGTGGCTGAGACAAAGGACTGAGATGGAGCTCGTGCCTGTATGAGTGCGGTCAAGGGGGAAACAGCCAAAGAGTCACTGGCCCTGGCTCTTCCAGCTCCTAAATCATTCATGAATCTGTGTCTTCTTCTGCAGTCACCCCATGCCGGCCTGGTCCATGTCTGAGGCAACTCTTTTTTAGGGACTGTTGTAACGACTCTCCCAAATAGCCTCCAGACTCTGCACTACCAACTCACATCCGCTCAGAATCCAACCTCAATTGTATCAGACACATAAACACAGAACCCTCCAGTCAGCGTCCAACAAATTTAATCTTGCCAAGCCACACTGACAAACTTCCAAATGTGCCTAGAAGTTAAGATTTAACTCCTCCCATCCCTCAGCTCATTTTCCTCCTGTCCCTTCTATCACCACTCCTAAAATGGCCATCCTCAGTCCCCTTGTTAAAGGGCAAATGACTGATCATTCTGGAAGTCTCAGCCTAAATGAATCTTTCAGCCCTTAGGGGCTTCCAAATCTGGGTTTACAGGAGGACTCTGTTAACGGCTTATCTTATTTTCTCGCAATTATTTGTTTTCTTTCTCTTGAAGGAGACAATGAGCTCCTTAAAAGAAGGACCATATCTTTGTCTTCCCCTATACCACTTTCTCTTATTTATTTTGAGAGAGAGAGAGAAAGTGGGGGAGGGGCAGACAGAGTGGGGGAGGGAGAGTACCTTAACAGCGTGGACCTCAACATGGGGCTCCATCAAACAACGGTGAGATCATGACCTGAGCCAAAATCAAGAGTCAGACACTTAGCTGACGGAGCCGTCCAGGTGCCCTTCTACCACTTTCTAGTTTAGGCCAAGCATGTTGTCTGACCTATAGGAGATGATCAATAAACATTTGTTGAAAGAGATGGTTCAGTTAATGACGCCAATGATGGTGCCGACTGAATTTACCCATTGAAACCCAAACTTCCTCTCCCCCCCCCTCCCCCAAGTCAATAGTAAATGCCGTTTAAAGTATCTGGGGAAATGCCTCGGTTCGCCACTTCCTGCTGCCCGCCTAGCTGAGGTTCAGAGGCAGGTGCCTTCAGGGGGAAAGTCTAGGATAATGGCAAGCGATGCAGACTTCAGCCTGACAGCTGCTGATCTTTGCTTTAGTTGATTTCCCCCTTTGCAAATGGTTATTGGCAATTGAAACTGCAAATCTACTATCTGCTCCCCTATGTAAATTGCATTTACATTTAAATTGTGCATTCTTCCAAAGGATGGGGTTAGTAAATAACGGCAGATTAAACTTGAGGAGAGGAAATTGTGCCCCACGTCAAACCTGAGACCGAAGTGACATCTGGCTTTTACTATTTCCGTTATTTCAGTTTAATAACAGCATGTGGCATTAAGGGAAAAGAAATTGGATCTACATTTTAATGAAAAGAGGAAGCTCTCAGGGTTTAGATACCTTATCATGTTGAATACCTCTTAGATTGGCAATTAAAACTTGCTTCCCTCAAGAAATGGAATAAAATATCTTTGCAGCCATGGGGGGAATAATAAACAAAAAACAAGCTAATGCCCAGGACTTCACAGATAAAACTGAGAGAAATGGGTGCTGCGAACATCAAAACCAAGTATTTCCCGATACTGCAGAGTACAGGATTTCTTAAACAGAATAATGCTGAGAATAGAATCATGGATGGGCTGGGTGGGATCTTCAGGGGAATAATTTCAGACAGAATAGTTTGTGCATAATAGGAGGCTCAACCCAATCAGATCATCTGATTGAATCCTTTGTCAACCTAGCTTCTTTTAAACTGCAGAGGTCTAAGAAAATATTCTAGAAATGCCTGTTTCATCCTAATAGTCTAACTGTTTAAATGGAAGCAGTTCCACCTGCTGGCTGCTTTTTTGTTGAAAGCAATTCTAGGAAATGTAAACAAAATGCTTATGCATCCTAATAACCCAAGCCTATCATTTATTTGCTTTGATTGAAACAAATGTGTCAATTTTCCAAGTCTTTGTTTGGTGAATCCAATGTTTAGATGTTGGCAAATGTTTGCATTACATGTTTGTTTGGAAACTGATGCTCTATTCAGAAACTCTGGAGCTATCGCCCTCAGAACCACAGCCTAGAATCATTCAATGAGCCTCCCTGACAAAAATGCTTAATCTTTTCCCAGAATCCAGATGGTGTTGAATGGTAGAGTCCCATAGGCAAGTGTAAATGGGACGGGGCTTCCCAAGCAAGAGGCTAGGTGTGGAAACTTTGAGGATGTGGCTCACAAATAATTAGAATAATGGAAAACATTTATATAGTGCTTAGTATGTGCTAAGCATTTTATGTGTACTATACACTCACTGACGCTCAGTAACAGCCTTGTCAGGTAGAGACTGCTGTCATCCCCATTACAGATGAGGAAAAGGAGACATATGAGGTTAGTAACTCACCTCACCTGATGTCACCCAGCTGGTAAGAGACAAAGCCAGGATCTGACTCAGGAGAGGCAGGCTCACTGTCGGAGTAACCCTTTCAGGAGATTCCCTCCTATCCCTGGCATTTAATGAAGGCAGTGTGTATTCCCCGTATTTACATTTCATCTTGCATCATTGTTTTTAAAGTCTCAGCAGTCTTTTTAAAAAGATTCAAGCTAATAGTCTAAAGGATCTCCTTATTCTTAATGAGGGATTCTTTGACAAGTTAATACAGCTTCTACCACTTTCTCACTTTCCCTGGAGTCCATGGCCAAATCGCCCATCTACTACTGTCGATCTTTTGATGATGCCCGAGACGCTTGAGTTTGTTTAATATTTCCTTTATCTTCCCAGTTTCCTGGCGCTGTTTGGTTCAATAGTATCTCTTTCCCCTCACTTCCTGTGCATAATGATAACTTCTCTGCATCTCTTGACATTTTATCGTGGCAGGCTGCCCATAAAATCAACCAGTGCCTCCTTCTGTCTGAACTTAGGTTAAATTAATCATCTGACTTCCACATCAGTCTGTTGCTATGGGATTGACTGATGTCACACTGTCAGTATTATGATCACCATGATATCTAACAGGCAAAAAAGGATCGGTTGCTTGTAGAAACCCTTGGGTGAAACTCACCCAGCTTTAGTTACCAACCCAACTGCATAGACTTTAGACAACCATGTAAAGGGGTAAGTGAATTAATCAGTTGGATTCCATTCGAGTACTTTTCTTCCATATGTGTGTTCCCTCTAGGCAATTGTCTAGCGTCACTTGAAATTGATGAGGGTTCTTTTGGAGGTGATTTTGGGGAAGTTGGTGAAACAACAGGCAGCTGTGTCACAGGACCTGCCTAAGCTAGCTTCTAGTAAAAAAAAAATTCTGAGGCGCATTGTCCTTTTCCTTTCTCTGTTAGGTGGTTTACTGGTAGCCAAAAATGTTAATTCAGCTTCCCCAACACATAGAAAAGGAAACTCCCACTTACTAAGCACCTACTATGTGCCAGAATGTGACTCTGGTCAGAAGTATAGCTTTAAGTGGAAAACTGTAGAGCTAGGCGTTCTCAGACAACCCTGATGTACATGACAATTCACAGCTTCTTCTAGCTTGTGTACAATGTTCTTCCTAATTGGACATTGATTGATCACCAATAAAGGCAAAGTCATTACTTAAAATTGGTCCGTATCCTTTTGTGCTGAGTAATTGTCTTGAGTCATTTTCACTGCAATATTAAAAAGTGTGGAAACACGATAGAAGTGAGGTACAATTAACAAACTGCTAAATTATAAATCTCTGTTAAAAGGTTTGACCGATGCATCTTTTTCAGGATTTTGTTAAGTAGGTGGAGGGGTCCTTCTGGGAGGGTGAAGGGATCAAGTAAATAAACGCAATTGAACTTGAGGCTGGTGTGGGTCTGGAAAGCCAATCAAGACTTGTGTAAACCTATATAAATCAATTTATGTGCCAGAGAATGAATAGCTGACTTTTTCCAAATGCCAATTCAGCAATTACCAAGTCTGCTGGCGGTTAATTAAAAACTACCATCTCGTTATGTTCAGAGTTAAATTACAAGTGTGAAAACTACTACTGTTAGCAGGAACCGAATGCTCTGGACTCTCTGTACTCTCATCAAAAGGAGGGCAGGGATAAATAAGTTTTATTTAACTCACTAAAAAATCTCTCTCAGCTCTTTCATATTTAATTAACTTCTTATCTTCTCAGAGTGTGAGTCTTACTCAGAGTTCCTAAGCAGGAATGGAAATATTTGTTCATTTGTTCATTTTGTGCAGAAGACTCCCCACACATGAGTTGCATAGAAAAGTTAGAAATAATTGAACCCCAAAGGCACTGGGGAAAGGGACACCCACCCAAAGCTTAACGTTGAGGCAACTGAACCCAAGAGAGATTTATGGCGGAAAATGGTGACTTTTGCTTTCTTGCCTCCGTGCTTCCAAGCCTGGAGAGATTGGGTTGTAAGCACTTTTGTGGATTTTTTGGTAAGGTTTTAGGGCTTATTTGGAAGTTGTCTTCATGAATTTCATGTTTTCCTCTTTCAAAGTTTCCACTGTCTGCAAGAAAGATCAAACATCTATCACCATGGTGGATGTGAAGTGTCTGAGTGACTATGAATTGCAGAATGAGCTTAATAAGCTTGGATTTTCACCTGGCCCGATATTACGTATGTATGCAGCAAATATTAGAGACGAGTCATTTATCACTTACAAACCACCTCCAAAGATTTAAAATCATTTACAATGGAAGGATCATATGCAACAAAAGCCATTGAAATGGAATTTGGAAAAAAAAATTTTAACACAAAAAACCATAAAGAGGGAAGAGGTGATAAATAATCCAGATGCTACATATAGATTGCTAAATATGGAGCCAGAGAGAAAGGATTGTTTTTTTCCAATAAGGAAAAACCAGTTACTCTTGATTATGTCACCCTTTTGGGTGTTTTTTTTTTTTTTTTCTTTTTCATTCCTAGTATGTGTGCTATGTTAGCTATTTGTGTATTTATTGTTCGTATTCCCCATAGATAATATGTACAATTGTGTCAGTCTTACTTTCAGATGTGTCCGATGCCTGTCTCTGTGGCTAATCCACAGAGGCCCCACTTTAAGTGTTTGTGGAAGGAAAGGCATGCACTGAGTAGCTGTGGGATTGACCTGATTGTAAAAGCTGTAATTAACCAACAATGTAAGGTACAAGAATAAGGATCTGGGATGTGAAAGACCTTGAACGCAGTGAGATCGTATACATAAACAGAACGACTTAATGTACTCTCTGCGTTCTTCTTCAGCTTCCACCAGAAAAGTGTATGAAAAAAAGTTAATACAACTCTTGGTCTCACCTCCCTGTGCATCACCTATGATGAATGGACCCAGAGAGCTGGCCAGAGATCAGGATGATGACGGTAAAGGTACCATTGGAAGCTGTACTGTTCAATAGCAACTGTGCACTGCTAGATAGCATCTGTGTACTTATTTATACCTTGTCTGGTATGATCTATGCAGCAGGATGGCCTGTGAAATATCTGTATGGCCTGTTTGCATGCAGAGCCTGGAGATTAGGCCCATGGGCTGCAAAAGGAATCCATTACTCCACGTCCATGTTCATGCCAGTGACACCACTGGCGGAAAGCCGGAGGGGAGGGACTGGTCAAGTTGCATGTCCTCTTAATTAGCCAGAACCAAGCCTGGGTTGATTTGTGAAACCAGAAGTCCCTGCAGGTAGTTTTCACGTCTCCTTTGAGGTCTCAACCTCTGCTTTGCCTCAATCAATACATTTGACAATTATTTTGTTCAAATTAAATGATTTCAAATCCATTCAGAAAGATGAAACCAACTGCACCTCCCTGAGCTCCCATGCCTACTGCCTTCCTGACTTCATAGGCGCTGACCATAGCTGGTCTCTTCCAGGCCCCAGGGGAGGTGGAGAGCTATGTTCTCTGGGATCCGGGGGCTTCCATTCCAGCGGCTCCTGCTCACGTGCACCATTCTCCTGTAGGGGCGTCTGGCTTGAAATCTTAGGGGGTGGGCTTGAACACCCCTACAATCAACTCCAAAGCTGTCTCATTTGATAAAGATTTATTAGGAGTCCTCTATGAGCCACAGTCAAATAATAGAACTCTCATGTATTGAAGGCCACAAATGCATCTCTGTCCTAATGTGCAGTATCTCACTTAACCCTCACACCTCTAGCTGAAGTTCAGAGAGGCCAAGTGACTGGCTGGCCCAACATTAAATAGCTAGGAGGCAGCCCCAGAGTGGGCCGTGAAGAGCAAGGTCCATTGTCTCTGTCGCCACTACATGTCTGGATCCTGGAGCAGTACTAGGCACACAGCACGAATTCAAGATATGTTTGTTGAAAGAGGGTGACAGAACTGAGATTTGAATCCAGGTCTGGTTCTCATCATTGTGCTCCTTCCACCGCATGCCTTACACTTACTCCGTAATTTCTACCGTGAAGATGAGCGCATTGCATTTTTGACCATGCTTTAAAAAAAAAAAAAAGCAATTTCAAACAGTTCAAATGAATAGCTTAACAAATGATAGGTGCCTGGGCCCTCTGCAAAATCCCCTACGGTGCCTGGTACTGGAAGTGGTGGTGCAGGTTCTAAAAGCTTTCCCTGAGTCCCGCATGGCTGGCCTCAGTAGAAAGAGCAGGAGGGCTTGGGGACTGACCCCACTGGCCCCAGAGCGGGCCAGTGATTACCAGGATGCCACAGGGCAACTAGCCACCCCAGACCCTTTCTGGATGTGGGATGTGTTCCGAGTCCTGTTCCAGACCTGGGACTGCTTGTGTTTCCTGCCCTGGACGGGAGCCGAAGGGACTCAACCAGCCCTCTGATGAAATGCTGTGCCAGGGTGGAAGATTCCAGAGAGGAAGGCTTGTGTGCTCACTGCTCACAGCCGCCCAGCACTGCAGGTCAAAGCTGCACAGCCAAGCTGCCGTGGCCTCAGGCCAAGCTCTCCTGGCTCCCAGCACACAGGCCCCACAGAGGGGCACTTATGCCCGGGCAAGGGGAAAATGGGCCCTTCAGTGTGTAAGCCCTGCCGTTGCTTAATAGGCTGTGTCCGCCTGCTGCTAGCCGACTTCAGGCACTCCAGTCAGAGGTGGGAGCTCTGGTTCAGTCCTACCCTTGTAACGCAGTTCTGTTGTGTCAGTGGATGGTGGTTAGGTCAAGTACGAAATGATTGCTCTCTCCCGTCAGGTCTGAATCAGACGTTTGAATTCACTCATGGGAGGAACCTCACGGAGCCGGGTGCCACTCATAAGTTCCCCGGGGAGATTCGGCCTTGGGCATTTCACAGAAACACCTAGTCCTGGGGTGGGGTTGCGGTGCAGAGTGTGTGGCAGGGGGCCTGTGAAGACCTGAGGCTAAGCATCCGGTTCTCCAAACCACACACGGACAGGTTTGATTTTTCTCCATTTCGCTCATTGCTTTGGCACCGAGTGGACATAGCTTTAATGATCGAACCTGTTTTCAAGCATCCCAAATATGTTTGAGTTGGAGAGCTCCTTTTAAACCCCCTCCAGCAGCTCTGCTGAACGTGCATAGCACACGATTGCTCCAAGTTCATCGAAATGCTTCTCCAGAGGCTGAAGCCAAGGGCCGATGAACAACCCACTTTCCCGTCCCTGGCAGTTTCCCTGATGTTGAAGCCTTTTAGCAAAGATCTGGCCTTCCTTCCTGGGGGGTCGGGGAGTGGGGGAGGGGAGCGGAGGAAGGGGCTTCTTTGGACACAGAAGGAGAAACTCCTCCTGGCCTCCCTTGCTATTCCGGGGATGTATGAGGCTTTTAGCTGGTTCGAAGCGGCATCGACTAGACTGAAAACAGCCGCCCCGGTGAGCAGCCAGCCCGCGCAGTGTATTTCTCGGAGGCACACAAATATGACAGCCTTCCTGTTAGGAGCCCTCGCCCTGTTCCCAGGGGAAGGCCTTAGCCATCACACAAAGGCCGCAGCAAAGACACTCTTTGCCCTCAGAAGGGCAAAGTGAATTTTCTTCCCTTCACAAGATTCTTCCGCCCTGCAATCGAGAGAATTCACCCCAATGATTGGTGTTTATTTCCTCTGCCAGCTCGTATGTTCTCATGGCCTATTTTCCTTTTGTTTCCCATGATCCAGAGCATAAGGCCACTATCATTTTGAAAGGAAATATCATTATCTCATCAGAAAAAAACAAGGGACCCAAAAAAGTATGTACAATTCTAATGCATGAATACTGTTACCCGTTTACTATATTTATAGGAAATAGCACTCTTCATATGCATTAAGAAAGGAAATAGCAAGTCACTACGTGCTGTTAGAGGGGTAGAGTCCTCGCTTAAAGAGGCTCATTTTAATGCAGGTTTCTGTTTTGAGAAAGTATTTCCATGTTCTGGCTCAAGACCCTGAGTAGCACAGTCCTCTAGCCCCTCCGCGAAATTGCAGCAAAGCTCCGGCTCGGCCCCCTCCGGCTACCGCTCCCCTCCCCTCTCCCTACCCACGGTCTACATTGGTCTACATTCACCGGGGGCACCCAGCATGGTCTAGACCCAGAGTGAGCGCAGAATTAACGCGAGGTCCTGTTTCCTTCTCTTTCCCCGACACTGACACCGAGGTCTGGCTTCCACCCTCACTGCCGTATTGAAGCACGTGACCAAGAATGTGCGGGTAACAGGTTTTGCAGTGAGGCCTCGCTGGTTTAGAGTTCCCACCCTTCCACGTGCTAGTTGTGGGGCTTTGAGAGGGTCACTTAACTCATGTGAACCCTGAGTGCAGTTTAATAGCAGTGTCTACTGCTATGGCGGGTGTGAAGTGAAAGGCTGTGCAGGGAAAGCTCTAGAACGAGGCACATGATTAGTTCATATGATGAATGCCAAGATGTCAGGCTCCAGGGACTTCTTGCTCAGGCTTCTGACCACTGTCCCTCTGTATTTAGAGATGCCTGCCTACTTCAATTTTATTTTATTTTATTTTTAATTTTTTAAAGTTTTTATTTATTTCTGAGAGAGAGAAACAGCGTGAGCAGGGGAGGGCCAGAGAGAGAGAGATACAGAATCTGAAGCAGGCTCCAGGCTCTGAGCTGGCTGTCAGCACAGAGCCCGACATGGGGCTCGAACCCACGAACCGTGTGATCATGACCTGAGCTGAAGTCAGACGCTTAACTGACTGAGCCACCCAGGCGCCCCTGCCTACTTCAATTTTAACAACACCATGCCCGCTCAGTTCTTGGTTCTGTACCTCTGTTTCCATTCTGACTCGCCTTGGAGGTCTGTCTCCAGCTCTTCTCATTGTCCTTGGCCTCTCCTTCCCTTTATCTCGTGTCATCTTTCCGCCCAGAGGTCTCCCGAGGCCCTTCTCGGGAGGCGTAGGCCTGCTTATCCAGCCACTTCCTGGGAAGCCCCTTCCTCTTCCTTGTCCTTTCATGCCTCCCCTCTGCTCTGCATTCAACAGCTTGTTTTATAATCAGGAACACTTCATAGATTATATCAGTGGATTCACGCTGCTCCCCGTGGCTGCCTCTACCTCCCAGCTCCTCACACGGAGGACATCAGGACCAAGCTCGCCTCTGCTGACGCCAAACCGGCATTTGTGGCCTCTGATCACCGTGATGGTTTCACCACCTTCCCACCATCCAGGCTCAAAGCCTCAAGAGTTATCTTGGAACACCCACTCCGCGCTGTTGTCAATCCTACGGATTTGAATTATGAGTTTTAAAAATCCATCCTTCTGGGGTGCCTGGCTGGCTCAGTAGGTAGAATACGTGTGACCCTTGATCTCACTGTCTTGAGTTCAAGCCCCACATTGGGCATGGAGCCTAGTGAAAGGAAAAAAGAGAAAAAAGGAAAATCCGTCCCTTCTTTCTGCTGTATCCTAGCTTGCACTGTATTACTTTTTTTCTGTATTTCAACAATTGTAATATCCTCCTAAGTGTCCTCTGCCTCTAACCTTTCCTGATTCCAGTTCAGATCTACAAGCAGAGACTGAGTCCTGTCATTCATTTGCCTGGGAACAAGATGCAAAAACTTACCACACACCATGAGGAGGCTCCAGTATCTCCTGTAACTTCATCTTACGCCTGGAATTCTTTTGTTCTTTCCACACACAACCCCCACCTCCATTTCTCTTCTGGTTAAAATCCTGTGAGCATGTAAGGACCATCTCAAAGGCCATGCCTGTGCCTCCCCTTAAAATGCCATTTCTCCCCTTCAATAGATGTCACAGGGCCTTGCACAAAGTAGGACCCGGAAGCTCACCTCATCAAATCTACCAAGCAGCTCTACTGACAGATAGGTTAGTTTGCAAATATGGTCCAGTATTTCTTTAAAAAATTTTTTAAATGTTTCTATTATTTTAATTTTTGAGAGAGGGAGAGCATGCGCAAGCGGGGGAGGGGCAGAGAGAGAGGGAGACACAGAATCCGAAGCAGGCTCTAGGCTCTGAGCTTGGGCTCAAACCCATGAACCGCGAGATAATGACCTGAGACAAAGTCGGACGCTTAACGGACTGAGCCACCCAGGATCCCCGGTCTAGTATTTAAACTACTTACTGCATTTCAATAAATGAAAAGGAAACCCCTGGTGAATGTTCTGGTAGTATGCTGTTAGCTTTAGCTTCCCATTTGAACATAATTCAAGTCTGATGAAGTAATTCAGGTTTTCTAAAAGAATTTTTTTTTAATTTTTTAATGTTTATTTATCCTTGAGAGAGTGAGAGAGACAGAGAATGAGCAGGGAAGGAGCAGAGCGAGAGAGGGACACAGAATCTGAAACAGGCTCCAGGCTCTGAGCTGTCAGCACAGAGCCCCACGCGGAGCTCGAACCCATGAACCCTGAGATCATGACCTGACCCGAAGTTGGACGCTTAACCGACTGAGCCAAAGAATTTTTAAAATCTTCCAAATGGTTCATCAAAGGAATCCTTTCATTCAGAAAACCCTGTTTCCGCAAAACACCCCTCTGCAATAGCTCTGCCAAAGGAACGGAGGGGAGAAAAAACAACCTGCGTATTTAAAACTCGTCGGATGAGACCGGCGCCCTTCAGTCCTTGCTTTCCATAAACCTGAAATAAAGCCACATCAATATTTTGAATTGGCAATAGAATTAAATAGAAAGTTTGTGACGGCATGAAACGTTTTGACCTGAAGTATCTGTATAAGCCACTTCGATTCTCAGAAGGGCCTTGAGACATCTGTTCAACTCTAAATTCTGCAGTAAATGTAAATAAGCATTTAAATCTCCACGTAAAAGATGGTAAAAGTGTGTTTATTGAGACACTTGTCTAACATCACAGACTTTAATTACTTAAGAGCAATGGTCTGTGCCTAACAGTCCTCTAAGTACCAGGAAAGGTAATATTTTTGCATTTCTTTGAAACACCAACGAGCACCTATTTTCCTCTCCTATCCTAGGTTTCCAGTGGCATACAAACCACTTTGAGATTTGGATTATGTCAACTTCTGGACGCTTTGTAATACTGCATGTGTGTGTTGTATCACGTCACATATGCAGCCCACCGCTTTGGTGGTAAAGACCACTCAGAAAGTCAGCCCGATATTTAAAACAAATTTTTTTTAATGTTTATTTATTTTTGAGAGAGAGAGCGTGTGAGCTAGGGAGGGGCAGAGAGAGAGGGAGACACAGAGTCTGAAGCAGGCTCCAGGCTCCCAGCTGTCAGCACAGAGTCCAACTCGGGGCTCGAACCCACGGACGGTGAGATCATGACTGCAGCCCAAGTCGAAAGCTCAACCAACCGACTGAGCCACCCAGGCGCCCCAGGCCTTGGGGACTTTTTTGTCACATGGGCTCCAGGCACGGCGTGTGTAGAGCAGGTGGCAGAGCCTGTGTGTGTAACACAGGCTCTAAGCCCCTTCTACCGAAGAGGGGAAAATGGGACTTCGGGTGTCAGGGAGGCAAAATAATCTGCAATGTCAGGTTGCGTGAAGTGGCCTTTGAGTAAGGGGACCACGTCATTTACACCCCCAACAGGATGCTCTTGAGAATGAAAGAGGACGCTTCCAGAAGGGACTCGGGAATAACAGGAGTCAAACAGAACTGTCCTGGCAAACTATACGGGCGCCCTGGGCTCAGGAGCGGGTCCGGTGTGAAGGTGTTGGCATGCGCACTACCATCTGCGGACTGGCTGCTGCGCCCCACACGCCGAGGGCAGCTGACCGGGGAGCTGTGTGCCCCTGAGTGCTCCTGGCCCCTTCGGGTGCCTCCGTGCTCTCTCCCAGACCCAACATGCTCTTTCCTGTCAGAACCCCAGTTCCCTGTGTCCCCCTGCCTGGAATATTCTCTTCTCTCTTGTCACCTAACCTACACATTCCTCTAGGAGCTTCTAAAAGTGTGTTCTGTGGGTCTGCACCTAGCAAATGGCCTTTCCAGTCAGCCCCAACTCCCACCCTCTGCCCAAGAGCTTTTGCTTCAGGTGTAAAACTCCGAGGGTGAAAACCGATGTCTTTGAATCCTCTGCTTTGAATTCAATGGCAGGCATATGGGGGGAGGGCGAGGGAGTCACTCGGTCTTTGCTGGCTGAAGTGAGAAAGGAGCCTTTGTTGTATAGGATGTTGGTGGTGTTCCTTTCTCTGACCTCCTGTTCTGTACCAGCTCCTTTGTATCTTAGACGTCCCTTAGTGTATTCGCCTGAGAGACAGTGCTTAGGTCACAGTGAATTGATGACCACCCAGGAAATGGTGGCAGCAGAACTCCCACCCCTGGGCCTCAGCCTGTGAGTGAACAACTATTTATTTCTACTGGGCATTGTGCTAGACTTTTTTGAGGAAGAAAAGAGGTATAACAGGAGTCGTAGTCCCTGTCCTTAAGAAACTTAAAAATGAGCTCTGGAGACAAAAATTATGTGTGCCAAAAATACGGGCTCCAGAGCCAGACTGCCTGGGCTCAAATCCCAGCTTGCCACCGACTTGGACAAGACACTTGACCTCTCTGTGTCAGCTTCCTCGTCTACACACAGAATAATTAATAACAGTCTCAATTTCACAGAGCATTGCGAGGATTAAGTTAAGACACATAAAGCAGAGTACTGATGGCATGTGATAAGAGCTATGTAAGTACAGTAAGAATTACCCTCGTCAATACTATTTTTTTTAAATTTTTTTTAAATTTATTTCTAGGAGAGAGAGAGAGAGAGAGCGCGAGCGTGAGCAGGGGAGAGTCAGAGAGAGAGGGAGTCACAGACTGAAACAGGCTCCAGG